GACTAAAAGTGTGCTGGGTGAAACTTAATAGTGTTACGAGCTTTGTACGACACCCCACCCACCACTACCTTTTCCGTTTCCTCCTCTTTCCTCAGGGTCCTCTCGGTAGTCGGGAAGTGGACAAGCGGGGGTAGTGGGAATGAATGAGGGGATGTAAACCAGGTACAGAATGTACATATCTCGCTTGACATCGCTTATCGGTCGGTTCTTATGCTTATTCGGTAAGGTCGTGAGGTACCATAGCTAGAATCATATAGCTGGTAAATGAGCAGCCCTCACCGACTCGCGACTCGAATTCGCCAAAAAAGAAAAAGCTGGAGGTCCTAAACTGGAAGCTGTGCCGACTGATGAGGACAAGACTGGATGGACCGAGATGATAGATCAGGAAGACGGATGATACTTAGTGGAAGTTAACGTCCACCCCCCGTGCCACCATACAAGGCTATACAAGCTGTGTGGAAAATCGTGGACAAACTTTGTTTAGTTTTCGATTTCGTGCTATGGCTCTTGACCGGTTGTGAAAATGTGTCTATACCGGTGCCCAGATTGTGTAACGGCGGGATCGATGGGACTTCCACTTCTTTGGGAGAGCGGGCGGGAGAGCGGTTAGTTAGAGTGCATCACCTCCCTACCTTACCTTACCATCCGTACTCCAGGTGAAAGAGTGTCTGCTGTGGAGATGATAGATAACCTGGACCTTTCGAGCTCTCGCTCTCTCTTTGAAGTTTAAACAGTAGAGCTGTCTGCCTATTCTAGGCGCTGGTGCCAAAGCGGCTAAACTGCAGACGGTGTCTCACAAATATGAGTTGACTAGGTACCTGCTATATCTGCCGTACACATTCGAAATGAAAGTGTGTCTGTCTGTCCTGCGAACGTGGTTGAGAAACTTTCTTTTTTCCGTCTTTCTCTGAAACGGTGAAACAGGAGGGAGATGTTTGCCTGGCGAGCTGGCTAGGCGCTTGCTTGTCCTTGTTCTGTCCTTTGAAGAGTCTCCGGATATCGGTATCTTAGTGGAAGCTTTTCTTTCCGTTGATGCGACCCTTGATTGTCTAGACTGAAGTCAAGTATCAAAGGGGAAGACCGCCCGGTCTAGCCGCTCTCGGGCGCGTGTGTGAACAAGAAGCTCAAATGCGTCAATCGATGTGGAAGAGAACAGGTAGAGAAACGTGAGGTAAGAAAACCTGTCGGCGGCCAGTTGCCGTCCACTTGAGGTGTGACGTTATTGGCTTGGCCCTCTATCTTGGCAGAATTTACAGGGTTCTCAATTGAATGTTCTGCTGTTACCGTAGTGTTAGTGCCAAATTTCACATGCCATTTATGACGACTATTCTTGGAGTCGCCCACGTTCTAGGCGGTTGCTGTGCGGTACCTACACCACACCAATGACGGGAAGACTGTCGCGTGCTTCGATGTGGATGTGGATTGCAATGTTACTATAGGCAGAAGCTGAGGAAGGAAGAGTCATAAAGCAGATGGTTTGGAATTTCGACTAGTTCGTTTGCAGAACCGGACCAATATTGCTACTTGTCCTCTTATGTTCTGGCGGTTGTTATCGTAGTTTCCTCTGGTTGTAGTTCTGTTAATATTTCAAGTTCACCTGGTAGGGAAGGTCGTATTAGGGGCTCTGTTTCGAGGTTTGAAGGGGTGTAGCAACTAGCAATTGTTGCACCATGTTTGAGATGGTAGCAGACGTCATCCACAAGGGGTGGTCGAGTTGTTGTTTACTACCAGAACAGGTAGGCTTCAATACCTAACGACACAGTTTTCCAACTTGAATTCCTTGAATACTTTTCTTTTGGATAAGGGTACTTCGGAACGATGTGCAGCCCCTCCAGGCTTCAGGAAGCACGACATGGCCGAGACAAGTGTGGGCAGGAAAACGAGAGAGGTCTGATAGGGTGAACGACAAACAGTGACACACTTGGCCTGCTGTTTTTGTGGCATGATGAGATCATTCATGGAATCCGGTCTGGAGGAGTGCTGCGCCGTTGGCTCGTGCCCTTTCCATTTCTCGTGCTTCTCTCGCCGACGGTGGGGTTCTTCCTGCGTATCCTCCGCGTTGCCCTATCTTCTTTGGTGGGGCGACCCTGCAGCTTTGGGTGTTTTGGGTGTCAGCGGCCCCACTAACAGTGCCGCTGCTGGGTCTTGCAGGTCTCCCGTCGTTTTTGATGGTCGATTGCGCTTGCAGAGTTCCCGCCCGCCGTCGTCACCAAGTTTTTGACAGGTACGGTACAGGCCGCAGACATTGATATACGATCCGTCAGTGACTGCACCCCTCTTCTCGTTCTTGGTCAATTTCAACTTTCCATTCTTCTTTCCCTCCTCCAGAATTCAATCCTGTTGATATCCTCCATCTCGCCCTCTCCGGCTAAACACCACGACCTCGAAAGCAGAACGCCAAACAGTGAGTTCTACCCTATCCATCATCCTACCGCAAACTCCTATCAATACACAACCAAACGAGTACGGACTTCACGCGCTCGTTTGGAATTCACCCGCCTGCTTCCTGTCCTTTCAGTCTTGTGGTTTGTTTCTGACCGTCTTCCCGTTTGTCGTCATAGAATCTCTCGAGTTGACAGCTTCATCCCCCGCCCGCGAATCTCCTCTCTTATCAGTAACCACCAAGCAACCATCAACGAATTTTATACCACACATCAACAATAGCGAAAACGCCTAAATACCTTCACAATGGCCGACCAATGCTCTAACGGCTCGACTAACCTCGATGCCCTCAAGAACAGTAAGGTATGTGCGCTGCTCAGCTTGTGCGAGCTTCTCCCCTCCCTTCGAACCAGCGATAAGGACCGCCCGCTAATGATTGCGTCAGTGTTTCACAACAGCTCCCAACACCACCAATACTAGCGACTCCTATCGCCGTGACACTCCAAAATGCAGAAACTGACTGGATCCACCAATAGATGCCGCTTCTGCATACGATGCCGTGACAAAGGGTATGTTTGATTTTCTTGGGAGTTTTGCCTGCTCTCAAGCTCTTGGCTGGTGGAGATAAGCTAACGATGACGTTGTGTTTCAGGCCCTGTCGCTCAGAACGTCGCCGACCAGCACGCCAAGACTGTTGACGAGCTCTCCAACCTTTCTGCCTCTCGCCGCACTCCCTCGACCCCCGCGGCTACTGGCCAGCCCTTAACACATTACCACTCGTTCTTCTCCGAGCTGTTGTCATGGAACAATCCTCGTACGTTCAACTCGAGAATCCCGAGAAACAGCCCGAGCCGTTTTGCTAACAAACAGCTTTAGGTGCCTCCGCCATTGCTTACCTGAGCATCGTTGCTGCCATCCTCTCTATTAGGTACTTTGATGTGCTCCGCTTGTGTTTCAAGCTCACTTGGATGGTCCTTGGTGTCAGCGTTGCCGCCGAACTTGCTGGCAAGACCATTCTCAACCAGGGCTTCGCGACTCAGCTACGCCCGCGCAAGTATTACACTGTTTCCAAGGAGACTCTTGACAGCGCTATTGGCGATGTTCACGAGCTCGTTAACTTCTTTGTCATCGAGGCTCAGCGCGTCCTCTTCGCTGAGAACGTCTACGTTTCCGGCTTCGTTGCCCTCGCCGCTTTCTTCGCCTATTACCTCGTCAAGATCGTCCCCTACTGGGGTCTTGCCCTGATTGGCACTACTATTGCCTTCCTCGGTCCCCTCGTCTACAAGACCAACAAGGAGGTTATCGATGCCCAGCTTCACCGTGCTAGCGAGATCATCGGCGCCCAGACTGCTCAGCTCAAGACCGTTGCTCAGCAGAACACCGAGAAGGCTACCCAATTGACCAAGCAGTACGTTGGCGAGTATACCGCCAAGGCCCAGACCCTGGTTGGACTCCACGGCGAGGAGCACACCAACGGTCATGCCAACACCCATGCCAACAAGTCCGAGCTCCGTGACGCCGACTTCCCTCCCGCCCCCAGGGCCGACATCAAGACCGAGCTTGCGGCTCCTATCGAGCCTGTCGTTCCCGTCACTGTCAAGAGCGGTGAGCAGCAGCCTCTGCTGATTTAAGCGAGCTCCCTTGCTTTTACCTTCTACGGCGATAATTATGTTGTGGTCGGTTGTACTCTTTACCTGAATACTCCATGGCCGGCAATGTCCGGGATTCCATGGTCATGATACCCCGTTGGTATAAAGCGGTGGCTGATCTTCAACCAGAAGTTGTTGTCTAGTCGCCAGCTCGCGACCAGCAAACAGCCAAGTCGAGGTGGTGGAGGAGACAAATAGTCGTTAGTAATGGATGAGTGGGTGGATGAATGAGATGGTTTCTTTCCAGTTCTTCGGTTTGTCATATCCTCGTGGCAAGGAAAGCATGTGAAAAATGGCGAAGAGATGGGTGAATATGGGATGGTGTGCTACCTGATGACGGATGATGACTTAACGTGAACTTAAGGAGCACAAATCAGGGTGGAGTCGCGGCATTTCATTTTCTCGGGTCTCCGGAGTATTGGGTTCTTGTCTTTCTATTTACCTAAGTAAATTCCGTACTTGTCAAATTGTTTGTAACCAACTTTGGCGCAAGATCTTGATATGTACGACTGTGATTGTTTGACAGTGCTTTGTGCGATGTTCGAAAAGCGGGTATGGTGCTTATAACTCCTGTGTGGATCCGCTTTCAAACATCAAGGTTGTATAGTGTAGCGGTTATCACTCCGGATTCTGATTTCTTCAGAACATTCCGGCAACCCCGGTTCGATTCCGGGTACGACCTCATCTTTTGCAGTTTTTTGTCTAACTCCAATGTGCTGGAGCTCATCTTGGATGTCCATATCCTGAGTGTTTACTTTTTTTCGGTTGCAAGCTGAGCATAGTGTTGACTTGTGTCGTTGTGTTGTTAACCGGAAAGGTGAACACAGCTTCCCCCGCTTTCCGATCCCAGTTATGCGTACGGTCAAGACGGTGAGAGTTGTATGTTGTTAATTCTTTTGCCCCGAACATACTCGTAGAATGAATGTTGCTCATTTGTCAACGTATCAACACCATTTATGAGAAATAACATGAGCTCAAGAACTTTCAATTTTAGTCTAAATATGCCTCCAGTCTAGAAACACTTCACCCAACACCCGACCACATTTACTCCCCCCTAACCTCCTTCAACGCCTCCCTCAACGCCGCCAAAAACCTCGTAACCTCCTCCTCCGTACCAACCGTAATCCTCAAGCACCCCTCGCACCCATGCTCCTTACCTCTAAACCGGACCACCACCCCCTTCGTCTCCGCCAACTTCTCATACACCTTCAGCGCCGTCTCGTTGCTCGGCTTGCCCTCCTTATCCAGCATCTCGTACAGCAAAAAGTTGCTGCTCTCACCACCCGCCAACTTGCCCACGCCCGGAACCAGCGGCAGCTCCGCCACCAGCCTCTCCCGCTGCTGGATCAGCTTCTCCTTGTTCGCGCGCATCACCTGCAGGCCCTCGGGCCCCAGCGCGTAGCTGGCCAGCGCGCTGGTCGGCGAAGAGATGTTGTAGGGCGCCTTGAGGCTGTTCAAAAGTCTGGCGATGGGAGGGGATGTGAAGGCCACTCCCAAGCGGATGCCGGCCAGGCCGAAGGCTTTGGACAAAGTCTGCATGACGACTAGGTTCGGCCACTCGTTGACCCAATCGGCCAGCGAGGCCGAGTCGGGCGCGAAGTCGATGTAGGCCTCGTCGACGACCACGACGCCGTTCCAGGTTGGGTGTTCGAGGACTTGGCGGATGTCCTCCTTGGCGAGCAGCGAGCCCGTGGGGTTACCCGGCGAGCAGAGGTAGATGATCTTGATGTTGGGTTCCGTAGACAAAGCCTCGAGCACGCGCGGCACGTCGACGGCGAAGGAAGGCGCCGGCAGCAGCGGGATCTTGACGAGCCCGACGTCGTTCACCTGCGCGGACACGGAGTACATGCCGTAGGTGGGCGGGCAGACCAGGATGCGGTCGCGGCCGGGAACACAGAAGCAACGGAGAAGAGCGTCGATGGCCTCGTCGGAGCCGACGCCCACGCAGAGGTTGTCGGGCGTGAGGAGCTTGGAGGTGTGCGCGTGGGTCGTGCGCAGGTTGCACAAAAGCTGCTTGAGGTCGCGCTGGTGAGGGTCCGGGTAGCGGTGCAGGCCGAGGAGGTCGAGCTCGGGACCACCGGAGCCGGAGCCGGTACCACCCAAGTTCGAGGGGACCGGGGGCCCGTAGGCGTTCTCGTTGGCGTCTAGGAGGATGTTGGTGCCATCGTCCTTGTAGTCACTGAGGTTTGAGTGTTAGTCGGTACACTTTATGAGACGTCGTAGACATCTCGGACTATAGGGTGAGACTCACTCGCGCGCGCAGCGATAAGGTTCCAAAGCGAGGATGTTTGGCCTGGCGCAGGTCTCGAGATTGAAGGGCGACATTTTGTGAAAATGATCGGCTTGTGATGAAATGAATGAAGAAAAAAACAGAATTCTAGAACGAATGTCCTCACCCTCGATTCCTCACGCAGGTTTTATGAGAGGCCTGAGTGAAAGTGAGGTGTGTGTGTTAGCGTAAAGAGTCACTGAAAGAGTCATCTTGAAAATCGTCTCAAAACGGCTCGTGGGCGAGTTGATGATTTGCGACCCGGCCGGTCCCCACTCCGGAAGGCCTGGCCCCTTAGCCCTTTATTCACGGTTCCAGTCTTGTTCGGGAGCTGATTGAACGACTTCAAGTCACCGACATATTTTGATTTCAAATGCAAAAACATGTTTGATCATTAATCGAGGGATTTTGAAAATCAATTCATGATAGCGACTGATGACTTTGACCTTGTACTCCCTCCTTGTTGAAATGGCATGCGGACGAGGATGTCATCCAACCGGCACCAGCTTCTGTTGCATCCAGTGGAAAGACTGGATGGGGTTAGGGTTAGCGGAGACAAAGGGCTCATTGGCGTCACCCTTGAACTTTGGACATTGTCCGAGGTATTGAGCTTCCTGTTGATTGAAAATATGGTCAGCGGGAAAGACAAAAAGAAAAACAGAAAGGCGAAAGACAAGGAAAAAGAAAACCAGAAAGGCAAAAAGAACACAGAAACTCCAAAAAGAACACAGAAACTCAAAGACGAAAAAGATTCAAAAAAGACATACAGCACCTGGGATTCGCTGGTCGTCACCGACCCAACTACTAGTCAAGCGATATGGTGCTTATCTATCGGAGTCGGAAGGATATGAATCGGGTCTTTTAATCACGTGGTAGGGTCAAAAAACTGAACAACCACCTCCCGTATCCATATCGTTCGGACAGAGGCATTACGGTGAGTGGGGAGCCGGCGCTAAAAAGATGAATATAATTGGGCGGATTACGAGAAAAGTTGACCGTCCTGACACTGCGGCTAGATTTTTTACACAGGTAGGCAGATGAAGCCTGTCGTCTGTTACTCTAGCAATGTCAAGGAACGCTAATACTGCACGCGAAGCCCAAAGGCCAACTCGCGTATCACAACTTCAAACTATGATATTCTGTGAGAAGTTTCTGGGCGTTTGCTGCACAGACCGCTAGTCCTTTGCCCTGCAGGGCCCTTTGACCTGCACCCTCTTTGACAGCGGTTCTGGCACTTCCCAGAATCCCCTCCTTTGCAGACCTTCCTCCTCTTTGTATCGCCAGCTCTATATAGCTGGCGATCCCTTCCAGCCTCAGTTAGCTGGATCCTCAATCAACATCATTCCCATCATTCGTGATCCATCTCACATATTTGCTCGGACGATTTCAGATGAATGTCACCTTGACATATTGAATACCGGCGGCGTTTATTATTGCCGGTAGGGCCGACATTGCAGGTTTGCCAAGCCCCTGACATCTGACCCAAACCAGTTCGATTTTAACACCAAGCATTTGAGTCTGAAGAAAAGTTTGGCAACAAAATTGCCCTCCGGGCAGGATAAGATACACGAACTCCACACTGAGTTGCGTTCTGGGACAGCAGCAAACTCCCTTCGACATATCAAACCATCGGCAAGGTGCACCCTTCCAAGTCAAGTATGGCGACGGATACTACTCCGCGACCCCAACCTTGATCTCATCCCTTCCAGACCTCCGGGTCTTCCTCTCCTCGATCCCTCCGTCCAGCACGTTCTATCTGGACCTTGAGGGCAAAAGTCTCAGCCGCAATGGAACCCTCTCCCTCTTGACGGTACTCGTCCTTCCCACGCAAGCAACAAGCATTGTCGATGTCCAAACCCTCGGCGACTCTGCTTTCACCACTCCCGGCATAGGCGGAAATACCCTCAAAGCCATCCTCGAGGATCCCCACACTTCTAAATGCTTCTGGGACGTACGCAATGACGCGGACGCGGCAGAAACGTAGGCGGTCTGGAAGTGCCCAGGCGGTGGTCCACTTGCAACACACCCATAGACTGCCTAGTCTGAAGCCATGGCCAACCTCCCCTCCGAATACTAAGTACAAGTTCCATGGTGTTGGCCTTCCCCTGTTGTTCCTTGCGTCTGATTCTCTTCGTTGAGGCGTCATCTCCAGGGGTTGGTGGTGGAATGCGATGGAGAGCCTCTTGCGGGAATTATAGCCACGGCTATAATTGATACTATCTCAACGGAATGACGCGCCGCCCGGCCCTTCCACGCTCCTGGGCAAAACTTCCTCTCGGTGCTTGGCGGTGCTATGACTGGTCGATTCGAATGCATTATACGATGGTCACCTGCGTTTTGGTTCTATTGGTTGGGACCATTCAAAGTTATTTACCCTTGGCATTTGACGGGTCATACAATCGTAGGCCTTCTGCGTGTTTCCTTATTTTACTTCCTCCCCTAGAATCTTCAGTCATTAATAGATTCGACTACCTCGCAATGAGCATTCGGGTTGACCTATTTACAAAGCTGCAGGCGTTTACTGGCGGGGTTTAGCATTTGGGCTAGAACGTTCATTGGCGGGCATTAGATTTTACCGAGCGACGAATAGTCGGACCAATGAAGTAGGGCAAGGCAGGCAGATGAAGGAGGCAGGCTAATGCAGGCAGGTTATGGCAGGAAGATGAAGGAGGTAGGTCAAGGCAGACAAGTGAAAAGTCGGGCACGTGCATACTCTAAGAAGCTCTGGATAATGATCGATCCAAATGATACTACCAAATTTGAAAGGATGCTTGCGACCAAATGGGCGCTCCACAAATGCGACCAGTCTATACGGCATCTGAATATCATGGTGAGTCCGAAGAGGCTACTCGAAGAAGAAATCAAGTTCGATATTATTCGCGCTGGCCCCGGCGACCTGGTTATAACACGACCACGACAATATCACGCAGTTATCAATCAAACCCCGTCTCTTGCTATAGCAACCAATTTCACTTTGCCTAGTGAAGAGGCAATTCCACGTGGATGGGTTGTTTGTCCAGAAGACGGGTTATACAGTCTGTCCCATGGCAACCTCAAAAAGCTTTCCCATGGGCCCCCCAGCAAGAAACGGAAATCAGACTCCACCCATCTACTACACAGCAAAAGGCAGAATTTTGGTCAGTCTCGAAATATTAGCAATGTTGTCGGCAATAACGATACTAAAGGGAGGGACTATGAAGAAAACGAAGAGCAGGATGAGGAGCAGGATGAGGAGCAGGACGAGGAGCAGGACCAAGGGCAAGACAAGTACCAAGAGCATGGCAACAACGAGAATCGCAATCAGAATAGCGACAATGACACTGACGCCGCTATCAGTGTCGGTTGCGGTGATGCCCAAATCAAAGTTGACAGCAACACGAAGGATACTAATACCGATACCGATATCGAATCAGGTCGTCAACTCGCAAACCTAACGATAGACAATGGTGCGATCTTGCGATTTATGTCAATCGTATACGCTTGGGACAGTGCGGACGATACATTGAAAAGCTCGTTCGCCTCGAAAAAGCCTACGGACGAGTTGTCGACTGCTAGACACTACGATAATCTACGACGGAAAGCACAAAATCTCAGTATTTTGTACACTGTTTTGGGCATGTCAGCCAGTTTTCGGCTTTCCAGAGTCATAAAAGAAAATGAAAATCGACATCGAGCAAGCAGAAGTTGTATATCAGCTGTGTTAGCAGGTCGTGGCATCGAAGACACTCCTAAAGCGCGGAAGGCATTCACGACGGAAATATCTGAGGCTCGGAAGATCATGAGGATGGTAGAAGGATACGATGGGCTTCTCTGCTTTTTACCCCTTGGGTTTGGTAGTGGGTTCACGTTAAGAGCTCTGACGAGGTTTTCGAACAAAGACCTCGAGACCTTCTATGCCACCATTGCTCGGTATGAAAGCCTAATGTTGTTGAGTGAGGTGGGCAATGAGTTTCTACTCTCTGTTTGGGGTGAATGAGAGTTCAAAGAAAGATTGTTCCAAAGGAGACAGCTTGGCGAACTGCAAAACCTACCCAACGAAGACCTCATTAAGTTTCTGACACCTATTCAGCCCGAGGATGGTATATAGGGTAGTCTTATAAGGCTGGACATTTCGTTCAAAATAAGCAGTATCAACCGTAGCTGTATTATTATTTTTTCTGCTAGTTTTTGTTCTTAATCAAGTCCGCCGTAGTACAGATAGCGGGACTCGGATCCCGAACACGTAAATCAACACTGCAAATCTTGTACGATAGGTGCCATAAACACCATCGTGAACGCAATTGATCTATAGAATCGCGTAATGAAAAGATGCTAAGGATGTGCTTGGTTGTGTTCGCCTTCTAGTAGAACAAATCCAGCTCTAACTTGGACGTTCGCTTTGGAAGCCGATAGTCCGTTTATTGAAGTGTCGGGTGCTCCATAAGGTATTGAATATTCCCCTTCTAACTTGTTTCATACGTAGGCACAAGAGAAAAGTTGGGACAGGTTCCCGTTCCGGGCTGAGAAATGGCGTTTGCTCGTTGTTTTCTCGCATCTCTTTAATCAATCAATCCTTCGAGAGGTGCGGAAATGTAGCTGATAGTGATTGTGGGGAGCTATGTTTCTAGATATAGCGGTCAGAACCCTAACCCTAGTTTCGGCGAGCCGGAACTAGGGTTAGGGTTCCTCAACCGCAACGAAGAAAAGGATGTTACCCCACAAAACAAGCATGCCGGGCTTGATAACTATACTCAATATCTCAAACATTGATAGGGCCTGCAAGCGAGAAAAGCCAGCAGCCAGAGAAGGGGGTGGGGTTAGAGTAGCTAGGTACTTGGTGTGTTTGGCCCCAGAATGATTTATCACAGCATAAATAGTAGTATTGCATATTAGGAGGAGTGATGTACAAGCGCTCAATGGGCATGAGGTCCTTCACCTATTCCCCGAGAGAAAACCGTATAGACTTCTGTCGAAAATAATGACGTTAACCCATCACCGGTGCTCCATGCCGAGCGATCCCTTAGTGGTCAGCTCCGCCAACCCCTTCCTCCTCCAAGCGATGGTTCATTCTGCCTTGTGATGCTGTAGCTCTCAGCCTACTGGGCTTTAGCCGCTCCACTTTCTGGTAGGTCCTTGGGGGGTGAGGTCCGTCGCTGGGATCTCTGTTGAATACAGCTGGCTACCTAAGGAGGCGTTCCCCTTACGAACCTCGCTTGGCTGGGTAATAATTAAATATTAAGGTTTGGGGATAGTGAGCGCGGTGTATCAAAGTTAAAAGAGTTTGTAAACGGTCTATTTATAAAATATTTAGAATTACTTCTAGGCCGATTAGAATAGCTTGGAGATACAAAAGGCGAGTGTCACGGTGGTGGCAGACCACTACACTAACCAGCTCGTGTTCCCGCAAAAGGGTACAAGTAACCGAAGCTGGCAATTCGGTCGCTCAAGTGGTCTTATATAGTTGTAATGACAGATGCATCCCACAAATGCCATCACAGCGAGTATAATATTGTATTCAAAGAAACTTCACTAAAGGGATGTTGGGCTAGAAGTCAAGGCAGGGGTTGATTGAGTCGAGATTGTTGAGTTATAGCGAGTTTTTGCATTAGAACTGGTTAAATTTGTCTCCTTGACAAAGGAGGGAACCCGATTCATGTGGACAGACGAGTGCCAGAGAGTATTCGACGGATTAAAGCACGCATTTACCACTACCCCTGTTCTGGCCCCTTTCGACTGGGAAAAAGAAGTGATCCTGGAGACTAATGCGTCCGATTATGTGTCTGCTGGGGTGTTATCCCAGTACGGGGACGACGGCATCTTAAGGTCCGCCGCCTTCTTCTTCAAGAAGCATTCAGTTAGGAAGTATAATTAGGAGATCTACGGCAAGGAGCTGTTAGCGATTATCCGTTGTTTTAAAGAATAGAGACCTGAACTAGAGGAGATGAGCTCCCCGATTAAGGTTATTACCGATCACCGCAACCTAGAGTACTTCATCATGACGAAGCTGCTAAACCGAAGACAAGCCCGTTGGTCTGAATTTCTGTTCCGTTTTAACTTCAAGATCATATACTACCCAGGGAAGCAGATTATACATCTATTTAAAACCTTCGGGCTCAGCGTTATAATTAATAACTAACACTTGCGAAGCTGTATAAGGATGTTGCTGAACGAGCTGCGGTCCTCGCCCGGTCCAGGCGCGCTCGCCCAACTCGACCAGCAAGGTATGTCATCATGTGGTTGATAGCATGGGCCAACTAACTAACTAAATCTATATCCAGACACCCAAGACCTCAGTTTTTAGGCCTCCTTTCTTCATTCCTCCCATCTTGCAAATCCACGATTCCCTGCCGCACGTCAAACACCGCATCCACGACATAATATCGACCATCTGGGACCCGAAAAGATCGACTGAAAGCTTGAGTACAAAGCGAGGCATTGTTGCTAGAGCCCTCCGCGCCTGCCAGAACATACGAGAAGGTTCTATCACTTTTGACTGCTACGAATACATTCTGTGTGATATTGCCATTGCGGTCCCTCCAGCGTTACTATTGAAATATACGACGACCAGGGGGACTCCCAATATGATAGGAAGCAATAGGGAGTAAACAATAAAGATTGGAGAGTAAACCAAGATCAATTCTTGCAGGAGGAAAGATTGTGAAAGGCTGACTCGAGGTGGAGTTGTCTTCCAAGCCTGCCTCTTAGGATGCAAGGCTGAGTAGCTTAAGAACCGCCTCATACCCATTCTTCGCCGCTATATATAGCGCTGTCCATCCATCCTGGTCCTGAGCATCTGCGTCAACCTTGCCAGTATCGAGAAGCAGCTTAATAACTGCCTCATGCCCATTCTCTGCCGCCGAATGTAGCGCTGTCTGTCCATCCCGGTCCTGAGCATCTGCGTCAACCTTGCCAGTATCGAGAAGCAGCTTAATAACTGCCTCATGCCCATTCTCTGCCGCCGAATGTAGCGCTGTCTGTCCATCCTTATTCTTAGGATCTGCGTCAACCTTGCCAGTATCGAGTAGTAGTTTAACAACCGCCTCATGCCCATTCGTTGCCGCCATATGCAGCGCTGTCCGTCCATCCTTATTCTTAGGATCTGCGTCAACCTTGCCGGTATCGAGAAGCAGCTTAACAACCGCCTCATGCCCATTCTTCGCCGCCGAATGCAGCGCTGTCTCTTCATACCGGTTCTGAGCATTTGCGTCAACCTTGCCAGTATCGAGAAGCAGCTTAATAACCGCATTTGCATCCGCTCCCCAACGCAAGAGAGCTCTACACGCCTGAGCATGTCCGTTTTCGGCGGCAATGTAAAGAGGTGCTTCGCCCGTTGATTTATCCTTTTCGTTGACCATTTGCTGCGCGTCCTTTTGTGTTCGGGCCCCGAGTAGGTCATCTATAGTATTCGTATCTCCTCTTCTTGATGCCAACATGAGATCCATGAATTCGGGCTTCTCGTCCACGTCGTCAGGTAAGCTACCTCTAGCAAGCTTCGGGAAGCGATTCGGATTACTGCTCTGTGTGTGGTACTTCGAATTGTGCTTTTGGAGTTCGGCAGAGGAACTATACCCAACGGCGGACATCGGACAGCTTTCAAGCAGGCAACGAAACGGACGCTCGTGGCAACTGATGTGCTTTTCACGTGCCTCCGCGGTCTGTAGATTGCCCTTGAAGAAAATGCAGCACGGTTTCGAACATTTTTGCACGTTCAGCGGCCCTTGAAGCTGACTAAGAATCTTCGTCTCCCTAGAGGTGAGTGTCTGTTCGTCCAACTTTCCGATAGCCTGTCGGATAGCCTCAGTTCTTTCTTCGATGTTGAAGTAACTGTTTCGCTCGCCACCGTGCTCCGGAATGCGGCCGGCCACCTGATCCACGCTTGGAAACCCACCGGCATCATCGAGAGTCGACATCTTTGCATGGTCTCCGTATGATTGGAGAAAGCGATAAGCCCATTGTATGGCCTCTTGACAACCAGCGCTCTGTAGCGTGCCAGAAGCCTTGATGCTTTCCCGGAGATGGTCGAGCCAGTACTGCGCTGCGTAGTCCTGTAAGGCGTATGAGCCCCTTCTAGCGTATGACATGACATCATCCTCCGCAATCCCCGACGCGAAGGGTGGAGATAAAAGATACTGGGAGCAAAAAATCGAGAGTTCCAAGTGCACTCGCGTGGTGTTCACGATTTGTCTCCGTATTAAGAATCTGCAAAATGAGCTGTTAGGGTTGAAATGAGAAGTAAGAAACATATCGTAGGTAGTAGACCAAGTACTTACTCGCGGGCTGTTTCATGTACCAGGTGGACCTCGTCCTCGGGGCCGGTGTAGTCTTTATTGACAGTGTGAGAATCCAGGAAAGAGCCGCAGAGCTGCTTGTAGCTCTTGACAGGACGGTTGTCGTAGTCCACTTCTCCTTTTAGCTGATCGATAGAGAAGAAAGACTGTATTTCCCTCCAGAAGAGGGTCCGCTTGCAGCAGACCACATAGCTCAAGATCTGAATTGCAGCTTTCCTTTCGTCGTCCGAAGAGCCTTTGTGCAATCGATCTTCCAATTTCTCATATCTGACAGATAATAGCATGTTAAGACTTTTGCGATCAAGTCACTGAAGTGATCCTAATGAGCAAGGAGTTGTTGACTCACACTTCTTCTAAGCTGGCCGGGAAGATCCCAGGTTGCAACGCTCGCTTCAGATCGGCGGTACGATATTGACCTAGAAGATGCTCGAGAACTAGCTTTGCATAGAGAAACATGCCTGTGATATGTGTCAGTCTCTATCCCAAAACTCTAGACGCTGCTTTGCTCAGTCAAGGGGCTTGGACGTACCACCAGCGTTCTCAGAAACCAAATCTACTATCACTTGCTCCAACGACGGTTCCGGCTCGAATGTGGCCTGTATGTCCCTTGCAAGACTTTCGCAATAGTTTTTGATATTTCCAACATGGCCAGATGCTGTGTCAAGTAGGATCGAATGCGCTGAGTTCGATGCTTTGAGGCGATGGTCTAGTATGCCGTCTCGCTGGCCCGAAAAAAGAACTCGTAGCCCAGGGGAATGATTGCAGAGGGCCAGCAGCCATTCAATCGTTTTCTCTTCCTCCTCATTTGTACATTCATCCAGCCCGTCTAGCACGAGGTAAGTTGTAGGGTAGGTTCCTACTGCGGTGCTGACGAGCTCCTTTAAAACTTTCGTACGAAGTCCATCATGCTTCGATGTCTCGATGTCAATGTGAGCGGATAGAACAGGATCTCGATCGTAGAGTTGTCCAAGAAGCGCCCGGAGCAGACTGTTGAAATTGTCTTTGTCTGCGTTTTGGTGGCGAAAGTAAAAGAAAGCGAGAGCGATACCTGGTCTCATGTCCTTCGAAAGCCGTTCTATTACCGTGGCCATGAGCGTTGATTTCCCTAAGTCAAACGTCAGCTTAATGCATGATTCCCCTTTATCTGTTCGCGTTTTGGGGCGGGAGACTGGGGGTGCGTGTAAAGTTCGCTGGGAAGATTGGTATACCTCCACCTGGCCTTCCGTGTATGTAGAGAACTCGCTTTCCAGAAGCATCACCGAGGTGCCAGGCCTGAAATATGGGATTGTCAAAAATCCACGTTCCTGAAGAAGTTCCCAGCTTGTCGTTTGAGTCGTCTCTGCAATCAATGAAGAATCGGTAGTCAGACTGGTAGTCTGGGATGGACAACCTCCCCATGATTGCTCTCTTCCGCTCCTTGTGCGTCTCTTCTTCTTGCTTATCTGCTACCTGCTTTTGGCTGGTGTATACTTCGCGGATCTCGGCTCGCAACTTGATTATCTGGTCAAGAGAAGCGGATAGCTTTTCGCTGTTCAGGATCTCCTTACGTCTCTTAAGGGCCTGCAGGATGACAGCAAATTTCGATTCAAAGCTTTTCCAGGCAGCATCGACCAGCATCTTCCATTCTAAAATTGCGAAGGGTTAGTGGTTTGAGGCCCGAAACGGAGAAGGATAAAAGAATGACATACTCGGTCGGTTAAATACAGCAAGCGCCTCCTTATGGAAATTAAGCACGTCCAAGTAATAATCCTCAAGAACGGGTCCGAGGCGTGTATTGCGCTCGAAGGTTGCCTCATAGTGCACCAAGCCGGCGAGATTCTCTTCAATATCACAGTACATATCCAGGAGTCTGTCAAGCGATTGAAGGTGGGTGCTGGCGGCCTATGGGTAGGAACATGGCTGTGAGTTGAAGCTCTCCATAAATGAGGTAGTGAGGAATATGGGGGTAGAGATAAGTACTAACACTAAGCAGGAACTTGATGGGTCCCTGTAACAGGTAAGTCTATTAGGATGGAATACACTAATAAACAAACGGGCAGGATGATGCTCACCCAGACGTAGCATAGGAACACGGTCGTGTTAGTAAAGACCTCAATGACTTTGCCGAGCTCCTTCATGGCCTCAAGGAAGGATTCAAGACGCTTGAGATGGCGCATTTCCCCCTTTCTCTCTTGTTCGGCTTGAATCTTCTTCATCAACAAGTGAACATCGTGCAGTGAACAGTTGGAAAACTCCTGGGCACGTCTTGGCCCAACATCCCTTTCGAATCTGGCCAAGGCGCGTTTGAAGCTCTCTGATTGTGGCGTCATTTCAGCCGTTGCATGCCGATTGCTGGAGCGAGAGTAGGTGCACCGTCGAAAACTTGATCAATCTTGGCGGAGGAGTGAATTGAGAGAATCAGGGGATTTGAAGAATTTTGGGAAAGTGGTAGCACTTCATGAAGTTCCCTCACAAAGGAACAGGAACTGAAGTATATCCCGTATCCGCCGCAGTTGTATCGTGGATGTGCGTGAGGTTGACGTGGACGTGCCGTGCCGCGGGGAAGTGAGCCTAACTGACAGCCGGAGGGCCGCGTTTCACAAGAAGCCACCGAGCCACCGAGCCACAGGCAGTGCAGCAGCGCAGCCAATCAAACAACTATATATACCTTGAATGCCCATCGCCATTCCTATCGTTGGTTTCTTGTACATCCAACATCGTTCTTCTGTCATCCCACACTCGACGCCACCACTTCGGTACAAATCGACGACGAACTGGAGCGCAACGCTTCCTCTTGGCAACTTCTTCCCTGCCTACTCAAAAGACTCGAGAAGACGTTTCCATAGCACCCATTCTGCCATTGAACGCAAAGATGTGAATAACGGACATGGTACACTTTGGGAGTGTTCTGTCCTGCCAAGGTTTGGAGTGGGTGCGAGGCTGTCGCGAGTCTCGGGTCTCGACAATTGACGTTGCACAGCACTGCCCCAAAGACTACTTCTTAATCTGGACTAGAAAGATGCCGCCATGCGGCCATCCCCAAGCCAGGCGGCCAACTCGCCTAACGAGAGTCGTACAACATCTTCAATCTTGATCTCAGAAGAGGAGAACGAATTATTGACCTTCCCTCATTCGCCAAGGACCTCGTCGTGTCCCCCCCTCGCTAGGCGGTATGGAGTGTCCAGCCTCCTTATACAGCGTTTCCTGGCAAAGAAAACCGCGCGTGCGCGTTGCACCCAGCCCCGAGACAATGCCAGCTAGAACTTCCATGAGACTTGTACTGATTTCTCCCAACTTCTCTTGTTTTCCTTCTTGCCCAGCTTTCTACTCTGCAGGTGTTGTGACTAGCCTCTTTGACATCGTTGTGGCTTTCGTCCTCTATGCTCATCAGTCAGTGTGAGGAACTCTTTCAAACCTCATTGAGCGCGTCATGTTGTATGCCGATCATGACACCTATGACCTCCGGTACAAAACGCCATTTTTCAAGTGCTGTTGAGGAAGCCGAAGTAAGCGACACCATCGACAAACCATCTAGCATTGGTGACAGGATCTGCTATGGCGCGGTAAGTTCTTCCGGGTCCCATCCTGTAGAAGCTTTTCTCATGAGGTAGCTTCCATTCAGCATATGACTATCTCTACCCACCAACGCCCTGAAACTGACTTGACATTACGCTTTTAGTTATATGACGCGAGGGCCCAATGTATCAATGGGTTGGGCCCGCTCGAAGACCAGATCAAGAACAGCAAGAACGACGCATTGTTTGTTCATTTTCCCGTAAACAGATGGCAAGGCTGCTTCTGTCTGTTTTTGGAGAACGGGACGGCATTCGCTATTGCCGACCAAGTCACGCAGGACGCATTGGCCGCGCTACGTCAAGTACCTTGTATTCGATTCGAGGCTGTGTTTGGTACAACAGTCCTCTCGAAGCGGAAAAGGGGTCCTGCTAGGAAATCTCCTGTGCTGGAGGACATCTCAGTCAATATCTTTGGGCCACAAGACAGTGTTGTCGAGAACAAAGTCGCCAAGCGGTTGTCAAAAGTCTCCGCATTTCTTCAACATCCAAAGGCTTTGAGCTCGGGGATTAAATACCGCAATCCGCAGTACTTTGTGGTACCCGGGGATGAAATCAATTTCGACGATCTAATTGGTGTGGGCAATTACTCTTTGGGGCCCGCCAATCTTAGAGCGAGAGTTCGTGGAGAGGTTGATAGTATCCTCGAGTCTTTGAACGTGATCTCTGTTGAAGAGTTGACCCCGCTCGTACACTCGGACAGTCTGAAGGCCAGACTTACAAGGCAGGTGCCGTTTCATTATCGTCACGTTCAACCTTGGTAATACGCAGAACACCTAGAGGGCCCCTTTGTGCTAACTTACCTTATACAGTCACCAAGAACAAGCTGTTCGCTTCATGCTTGATCGCGAAAATGAGAGTCTTTCAGATAATGGCTCTTTATATGACACTGATTCGTCATCGTACGGCAAAGCCCTTCCCCGATTAGCCTTCACAAACGCTAACTAACAACGTTTAAGTAACTATGGCGGCCTTATCGCCGACGTGATGGGGATGGGCAAGACCCTCAGTACACTTGTCACCATCCTACATACGTTGGGATCTGCTCGTGACTTTGCCGACTTCACTTTTTCCCAGGCTGCCCAAGAAACACCTACGAGAGCCACTTTGGTTGTCGTACCCTCACGGCGTAGGTTCTACTTAGAAGTCTTGCGGATTTAAGCTCATAGCTGATTGCGTCTTTTAAAGAGCTGATTGATAACTGGCAACTCGAGATTGAACGGTACGAGTCAAATCCTTCTCGCCGCACCTTTCGACTGACAGGCTAATGCAAAATTACCTCTATTTCTAGTCACATGTGTGGAGCTCTGCACGTCACAGTGTTCCATGGGGAACAAAAGCCTCGAGAATACAAGCCTCTCATGGACACAGATTTGGTTCTCACAACATACTCCACACTTGCGGCCGATTACAAGAAAAGCGATTTACTTCACAAGCTGGAGTGGTATAGGGTGGTCCTTGACGAAGGTAAGATCAAATCTTTTGTGCTCGTTGGGCATCGAAAATTGTGGCTAAAGTAACTCAACAACGACGTATTTGACAGCACATGAGATACGAAACTCTTCCACCCACTACTTCCGGGTCGCTTCGACTCTCAATACCAGCAGACGGTGGTGCTTGACAGGCACACCCATTCAGAACAAGTTAGAAGATCTCTCATCCCTTGCAGAATTCCTTCGGCTACCTCTAGAGATCTCCGACAAGGAGGAAAACAACAAAAAGACCTATTCTGCGAAAAATACATTCCGAAAGCACGTCCTGGAACCCCTCTCCAGCGGAGGCATGTGCGACTCTCAGCCATTACGAACCTATCTCCGTCGGTATTGTCTTCGCCGAACAGATAAATGCCTCGATCTTCCCTCTTCGACAGCTACGACCATCTATCTAGCTCTGTCTGACCAGGAGCAGAAGCTTTATGATGCCATTTTAAGCAGAGCAAAATGGGCCTTGGATGACATCGTCAGTGGCAACGATAAAGGTGCCCTCAAGCTCTACAACGTACTATTCACTGCTACCTTGAAGATGCGTATGATGTGCAATCATGGAACTTTGAGCCCTCTATGGGCCTCTACGGGTTCCCTCACGCCGCAGAACGGGGACATTAGCGCATCTTGTGAGCGATGCTCATCATTAGATGAAGGCTGCGATGATATTCAGTTCTGCCCAGACTGCCGCCGCCCTCTTCGTGCCAATAGTCCATCCGTGAGTGGAAGCAGTCCCAACCCAACATGCTTGCTAGGGGATGGCATCGTAGATACGATTGATCTCCATAGCTCGTTGCAGACAGATTTGTTCTCAACGAAGCTCAAAGCTGTGGGAAAGCAAGTACTTGAAGCTGGAGCGGGTACCAAGCAGTGAGTGTCATGATGCTTATTGGAACCCGACTGGACATTGCCAACTGACAAGAAACTAGCCTCATCTTTTCTCAATGGATACCCACTCTATACGGCCTCGTCCACATATTTAGAGACGCAGGGGTCTCTACGCTTCTTTTACATGGAAAAACAAGCATCTCGGAACGAACAAGCCTCATAAAGATCTTCCAAGAGGACCCTCAAGCGTCCGTTCTTATCATGTCTGTGGGTACAGGGGCAGTCGGGTAAGCCACAATGCATCTCTTTCATGTCTTTTCCATCTCGGATACTCTGCTAATATCTGCAAAGGCTCAATCTCACAGCGGCGAGTCACGTACACGTCGTTGAACCGCACTGGAATCCTTCAGTCGAGGCACAGGCCATCGCTCGGGCAATTCGCATGGGTCAGACGAAAAATGTCATCGTGACGAGGTACATCATGAAAGGAACAGTGGAAGAAGTAAGCCACCCATGCAATGTCCCACCAGTTCCATTGACGACGGCGTTACTAACGAGAACCGAAGAACATTGTTGCATTACAGACCAAGAAGCAAACGCTCGCGAAGTTGACATTCGACACTGGTAATGGAGTTAACGAGAACCTGGAGATAAGATGACCGCTAATCATCCAAACTCAATCCAAAGGGATACCACTGACATCCTGCTTTTACAACCACAGGACTTCAAAGCCGTGCTAGGTGTTAAAATCGATTAGTGTTAGTCGCATCAAGCACGCACGACTTCGACTCCGAGGCCGAATGGTTAGGTATGCGAGTGAGACCTACATAATGTTGATATCAGCTTCCATATTTCCGAACAAGCGACCAGAATTTGGGGAAATGGATAAAACGAATACCTTATAAATCTTGTATAATAAGGCCGTATTTGCTCTCAGACTGTCAAGAGTATAAAGGGATCGCAGTATAAGGCTATACTGCTATAAATCGATACTACTAACAAAACTTCAATATAGCTATTTAAACCCCCTTTATACTACAATTATACTGCAAAACCTAATTATTTTACTCTTAGTATACTGTTATAGCTGAGATCTATGCCTTCTAATTAGGTGCATCTATTTACGTGATGGTTTCTGATATGGGTAGCTGGGTTGCTTCGTAAATATCATATATGTGATATTTGAAAGCGTTGTAAAAGATGATCGTGAAGGAAGAAGGAGGCTGTCCTAGCCAGCCGTCTGCACAGAAAGGATATGCTGTGCAGGGAGTCGCTAAGCCAGGGCACGAGCCACAGGGTGGCTGTAAGGGTTCTACGAGGTATACACGCAGGTAGGCCTTGATGAAAGCTGTAATATTCGACAAAGAGGAAAGGAGAACTCTGGTACCCACTGAGCACAAAGCTCACAGCTAAATACACGAGAGAGGTGCGGGCATCGAAGGTGCCAGAAATGCTAAGGCTAGAAATATGGCCCGTGCGGCGCACCCGAGGATGCACCCAATGGAACGCGATGCATTAGGCGCCAAGACGGCTGGTGACAGCTACTTAGCCTGTGTACCTAACCAGAGGGCAGGCCTGGCTTACATAGGGTGCAAGCTAGGCAAACACCCCTGGGCGCCAGCCCCATGACAGTGGCCAGTGCTCATCGCGACCTGATTCTGACTGGGTATGGAAGCCTTCATGACAGCCCAGCTAATCTAAGCTATAATATAGGAATACAGGTAATGGCTGAGAATCCAGCCATTTCTGGTATCAGTTCCACTTCCTGCCTTCTGGACCCACTTCATTCCTGTATTTAACTATGCCCTCATTTCAAGTCTACTCTTCCTCCCTTTTACTTCTCATAGTTAGTTATTGTAAGGGTTCTACGAGGTATACACGCAGGTAGGCTTTGATGATAGCTGTAATATTCGATAAGGAGAAGGAGAGAGCTGTGCGCCAGAGGCGCGCGCTTGAAACGGACAACTAAATACAAGTATGGCATCGAAGATGCCAGAAATGCTAAGGCACGCCAAGGCTCCCAAAGTGGCCGGTGCTCTAGATGCACCCAATGGCGTATAGTGTAGGCTAAGCCAAGCCGGCCAACTGCAGTAGTACAGCCAACTAGAAAGCCTAGCCTGGCGCACAGGCCAGGCAAACACTCTGGGCACTAGCCCTATAACAGTTATTTATTACATTCGTCAGATTAGCAGTGCCAGCCACTCGCTTAAATCTACGTGCCGTGATATATACTATACTATAGCCTAACTAAACAGGATTATTTACTTCAATATACTATACATAATATTATAGCCTTAAAACTAGAAATATATCATGGGCAAAGGGTAGAGTATAGATGTAGATATGCGTAATTGCATGAAGGAGAAAGGGAACAGTCACAAGCTATGCGTAGAGGACTGGCCTTAAGTAGGGTCCTAGCCGCGTGGGGCTGGGAGGACTTGGCCAATCAGGCTGCAGCAGTCTCAGAAGCGGCTGCAGCCTGCACAAGCATATGAATGGCACATAGCAGTAAGCCATGACAACAATCACGTGCGACAGTCACAGAGGTCTAACCCTGTGACAGCAGAGGGGAAAGGAGGGAACCAGGCGCATCCGTCAAAGAGCTCTTCTACACTCAGCACCAGCAGCGGCCTAGTAGCTTGTACCAATTATGGAGGTGTCATAGCCCAATCTTGTAGAGTAGATAAGGAGCGTGGGGCTCGTGCGATCATATTCCGTTGTTTTTTCTTTCTTTAGTCATAAATTCTATGTCGAACGTCAACCAACTGCTGCAGCCTTGACTCGCTTGTTACGTACTCTCACAGGGGGCGTGGTACAGATAGGGCTGCAAATTCTAATTGGAATCTACAAATCGAAGTAGAGCTTAAACTGTCAGTACTAACAACCAAGTCGTTGCGGTAACCAGTGTTACCATAACTACTTATTGATCCTCATTTTCTTAAAGGGGACGGTGTTTCTTTCAACGGAATGTTGCGATAAAGAGAACTGACTGGTCTCCTCTTGTCTTGTTCGTTACCGAGAGTTCTTTGTCGGGATAAATTCTGACGACTGAAATAGGTTGGCAGGCCAGTCGCATGCGAAGAATCGGTATCTCTATTATTCTTGTTCACTAGGTTGTGGTGGACGTCTTGCAGCGTGGATCGTGTGGGATCTAGACCGAACCCTGCCGGAGACGCAATTTCAGAACGGTCAATTCGTCTTGTAATCTGCCCAATCATATTGAACCTTTCAGCGTCAGCTCGACACTCACCATAATTCCTCCGTTCTTGACGGGAATTAAGCATATTGATATGGGAGGTCGTTGCCCCGTTTTTTGACTTTACCATGTGATCAAAAGACTCGGTTTCTATCCTTCCACCTCTGACAGACAATCTTAACAATCGAGAGGTGCGGAAATGTAGCCGATAGTGATTGTGGGGAGCTGTGTTTCTAGATATGGCGGTCAGAACCCTAACCCTAGTTCCAGCTGAGCCGGAATTAGGGTTAGGGTTCCTCAACCGCATAGAAGAAAAGGATGTTACCCTACAAAACAAGCATGCCAGGCTTGATAACTATACTCTATATCTCAAATATTGATCGGGCCTATAAGCGAGAAAAGCTAGCAGCCAGAGAAGGGGGTAGGGTTAGAGTAGCTAGGTATTTAGTGTGTTTAGCTCTAGAATGATTTTTCACAGCATAGATGGTAGTATTGCATATTAGGAGGAGTGATGTACAAGCGCCCAATGGGTATAAGGTCCTTCACCTATTCCCCAAGAGAAAAGCGTATAGACTTCTATCGAATGAAAACCACCGCCCCTTCTCCGACTGTAAGGCTTGTGACGGCTGGTGCCGTCATGGGTCACATGGTTCAGGTGCAGGTTCTGGGCTTGGCTCCGGCTGCCTCCCAATTAGGGTATAAGAACCTCGCCTCTCCCATCTAGCCTTCCCTTTTGGGATTTCTTCCTTCTTTAACTTCTTGTCTTTAGTCCAAGTTAGCTAAATGGTACAATCATCATACCGTCTAGCTACGCCGTGATAAGGCTGGCCCCTACATTTCCTACTATAATGTTGCTTCACCCACTGCCTGGTGAATAATGACGTTAACCCATCCCCGGTGCTCCCTTACTACTCAATTTAAAAGATAGAATGTCCGTTTAATTAAATTTCAGGAGCTGCTAGACTAGGATACTAATTGTTTTGCCACCCTCTTAACGCACCTCCTAACAGTTACCTACTTATTGCATTGATCTAAAAATATATTTGGAGCGCTAATTCTTTACCATCCCCTTATGTAAGCGGATATATCAATCACCCATCTGTGACGGCAGTGGCAGACCAGGCTATGTTCCTGCAAAAGGATACAAGTAACCGAAGCTAGCAATTCGGTCGCTCAAGTGGTCTTATATAGTTGCGATGGCAGTCAAGAGGCACAGCTACAAGGCTGCCGTTACATTCCTCCTCAGGACAGCGTGCCAGCCTGCGACGGTTTTTAGGAGCCGATCGAACTTTTCGAACGGGAGCTCTCAATTAAGGCTAAGGAGAACCTATATAAAGGTACCCAAAAAATCTCCAGACTTTTCCAACTACGAGGTTCGAACTTGTAGCCTTTTAGCTTTGGTTAAATGTGACAGCGGTAGCAGACCACTACACTAACCAGGCCAAGTTCTTGCAAAAGGATATAAGTAACCGAAGCTGGCAATTCGGTTGCTCAAGTGGTCTTATATAGTTGCGATGGCAGTCAAGAGGCACAGCTGCAAGGCTGCCGTCATACCATTTATAGTACAAAGGTTGAAGTTAATAAAAATGTAGAACAAGAAAAAGAATATTACGCGTAATAGTTATACGTGTCACGGAGTACACTAGAGTGTGTTAAAATCAGAAATGAGGATATAGTTATCTCAAGATATTTAACATCTCAGTACTCTCAATATGATTCAAAATTGTCACAGATTGCACCCAGATAGTCTGCCACCGCCGTTACAAAAATGAAGTATACCTATACGTTGTACAACCTTAAGGTAATCGAATTGAACAATATTCCAATGCAATGGAATATTATGGCAGCAATCTCTACCTGGCTATTCCTTGCAAGATTTATATTTTTACCAGGTACATTTACTTCTTTACAAAGTATTCAATCCCAAACTCGTACAGGGAATATAGTTAAGTCTTTTACTGCGAGCAATATTGTACTCCTTGTATTTTCAATAATATTTTGCGTAATTGCAGTGAGTATAATAGGAGCCTTATAGCTCTGGTACTATTATAATTATATTTGGCTATTATATTAGTTATTGTAGTAAGTACTCAATTTGACTTCTATTTTTTCTATACCTAATTTTGTAAGTCCTTTAGTATTGAATTCCTTAAGCGGATTAGCTACTACCCTAATTGGAGTCTATATTTCGCATAATAGACACTGGTCTAAGACAGCGATATACACAATTAGCTTAGTATCTTCAACCCTGGTTTCTACGAGTTTAATATCTATTATATATGAGTTCTGGTTTCTTAGAAGAATTTTCCACTGTCACGCACGTAGATCTCGAAGCGGGAGTGCACATGATTAATCTGACGTTATCGATAAATAACTAAAGATAAGGAAGAAAAAGGAAGAAAGAGTAAGAAGTGCAACTTCGAAGAGGACATGGTCAAATACATCAATGCAGCCAATCAGGAGGCCTCTTGGCGTGCGCATGGACCAAGCCATAACATCCACTAAATTACACCAGCTCGTCCTATTCAAGAGCGAAACAAAGCTTCTTTTTAGGGTTCTATGCCAAACTGTAACTTAATGGTAGGTAGAATATTAGAAGGATGTAGACAGGTAGTGTTTAAATAAAATACTATTAATAATATATTGTTATTATTAACTCCCTTAACATAGTACAGTAGTTCTCTTTCCTTCTTGCTCTTCCTTCTGCTCCATATAAAAGAAAGACGATCTAGTATCACGGGGCAAAGTGAAGGGTAGGGGGTAGGTTGGATATGCGTAGTTGTACGAGGAGAGAAAGGGAGGGAGGAGTGTGTACGGTCTGGTGATATAGGGTAGGGCTGAGCCATGCCCAGAGCCAGACCCACACTAAACCCACTGGCACGGATGCACGTGATGCCATTGGCTAGTGGTCCAATAGCAGCACAAGGCTCGACCGTCCATGGCTCAACCGCCCATGGCTTGACCGCCTGTCATGGCTGAGATCCATGCCTTCTGATTAGGTGCATCCATTCACGTGATGGTTCCACTTCCCGCCTTCTGGACCCATTCATTCCTGTATTTAACCATGCCCTCATTTCGAGGCTACTCTTCCTCTCTTTTACTCCTCATAGTTAGTTATTTATTACATTCGTCAGATTAGCAGTGCCAGCCACTCGCCCAAATCTACGTGCCGTGATACCACCTATGGCAGGAGGCGTGCATGTGCCAGGCACAGTCACAGGTAATTCTGTGACATCTAGCTCAGTATATGAAAAGTCGTAGACCTGAAGATAATTGAATTTCAAATGCTCTACGACTTATAGTTTGTTATTCTTCCTCGTTGTTGTCACGGGACTAGCCCGTGCCTTGTCGCGATGTGCTATTGCTGTTGGCACATGTGATTCAGCACTTGTCATGAGCGCGCATTTCGTACGTATATGACAGGGCACGTGTAGCTGCACGTGATACTGGCTGGCCATCTCGCACTCTCTCTTGCTCTCTTCATACAACCACATATATCCTACATACCCCCTAACGTCGTTGTCGCCCGTGATAGTTATTAATACTGTTTATAACTCGGCCTTACCTGGTTCACTGCATACTCTGATAACAGAATAAGTCAACAAGCCCTCCTGCCCCCTTGTCCGGATTGTCCAAGTAGTCAACACTGAAATGATCGGCCGGCCCCTGCCTCGCTGCCCACTCGGTCCGGTCCAAGAAATTCTTCATACGCACGGTCGCGGAGAGTATATATAGGCATTGCCAACAGACCATTCCGGGTAGGAATGAAGGACTTTCGGATGCCTGGCAGACTAGTTGTTGTCGTCAGAATGAGGCAGGAGTCCTTGTTTCCTCTTGCATGTCACATTGTGGCGCTATGAGAATTTGTCACTAAGGGGCAGTTTGTTGTCTGTAAATTGAGCTAAATTGTTGCGCCGCTGCCTAGCCTAAGGCTTCATCTGGAACTCGCTAGGCTGCAAGTGTTGATATTATGATGTAATAATCGCTACTGAAAGAACGGTTTGGTATAACTAGGTAAACAAAAGAAACCTACTTTCACTAACCTACTTTCATTAATATACCTTCACTAACTTGCAGCCTTACCGGGCTGTTAGCGACCCGGATCTTACCGCTGTGGCTTTTCGGGCATGAAACTCCAACTAATGGATGCTAGTTAGACTCCTTCACGTTTATAAACAAAGGTTGGTAGACGGACGGACCCTTGCTTGCATTCACCTTGTCTTACACACGAGCAAGAGCGTCGCCAACCATAAATCGCCGTTATAACCTACCTCGCTTAATACGGAGACAGCTTGACAGGTTCCATCTCTTAAGCCACAGCTGTACGTAGCTCAGTGAATTCGCCGGCCACACTTACCACGTCGGGCATGTGCATAGTTTTAAATAAAGTTGGCATCTGATCCTAAAGCTATAGTTGGCTTGTCGCCCAATCTGCAGGCGTCTTCCTGTTTCGCAGCCCTGGCATGCAGCTCTCTCCGCCAATCGACTCGTGTGAGATCACGAACAACGAGAGCAAGCGTGTATACGGTTGATTTTTGGTATGTTGTCTGTGCTATCGAGAGAAGGAGAGACTGGCGAGTCTGGAAGGCTAGAAAGTGGTGCGGTCTGGGCAGGGCACGGTGGGCACGGCACAGAGCATGTGACTCTGGCCTAGTGCCCCAGTTGCCTGCCTGGGACCTACCAACAACTCGTCTACAAAGGTGTTGGCGGCTGCGCCGGCAGTGTGTTGCAAGCCAACCACCATGGTTATAACATGCCAGGATGGAAGGGAAGAGGTAGGCTGATGCAGCCAGATGAAGAAGGTAGGTTAAGGCAAGTACATGAGGGAGGTCCATCGTAATCAGTTTGTCGTAGTGGATCACCAAACCGTGATCCAACAAGACAAGAGCGAGAGATTCCCTTGCCACGCTCTCAACAGACTTGGCGACTGGGCCGAGGTACTAGGAACCAATCAGGAATGGTCTTCTGACTGAGTGCAATCTTGGTGTTACCCGTGTAAAAAATCTAGCCGCAGTGTCAGGACGGTCAACTTTTCTCGTAATCCGCCCAATTATATTCATCTTTTTAGCGCCGGCTCCCCACTCACCGTAATGCCTCTGTCCGAACGATATGGATACGGGAGGTGGTTGTTCAGTTTTTTGACCCTACCACGTGATTAAAAGACCCGGTTCATATCCTTCCGACTCCGATAGATAAGCTACCATATCGCCTGACTAGTAGTTGGGTCGGTGACGACCAGCGAATCCCAGGTGCTGTATGTTTTTTTTTTGTGATCTTTTGTTTTTGGTGTTTTGGTGCTCGCTTATCTTATCGGGCTTATCGGGCTTATCAGTTCAGGCGGGAACCTCCCAGGTCTTCCTCCAATTTCACAGTCCCGTCATCACCTTCCTCTTCTCCTCCTTCAACTCTCTCCTCCTCACTCATTGATAAAATAGCCCGTGTCCCTCTCTGCAAATGTTTCCTCCAGGGAAAAACATACGATTCCACTACCACGCCATGATCCTATCCGCAATTGCCTACCATCGACGATGATGTGATGCGATGATGTGTCTTGTGCGACGGGCAGGTCGCGAGTGCCTGCTATCCATTGGCTATTTCGCGAAGAGGTTTAGTTTCTGGAGATGTGCGACGAATCCTTCATTGCTGCCTGATTTCTCACTCCTTTTTACCACTGAACTACTACGTGCCATTCCCGTTCTGAAGAGAAACAACCAGCGTCTTTCTACTTAGACGCTTTCCACAGTAACGGCAACGATTGACCACAATGGACGTACGGTGGCCCAAGTCGTTCGTAGGCTCAATTGAAAAAGTTTGGTTGAAAAAAATTCCCTGCCACCTGCAGGTACTAGGCTCGCACCGGAGGGTAACACTCGAACTCCAAAACCAATTCAACCTCAACTCCAACTCCTGGAAAACAATGAAGCAATGAAGCAATAAAGCAACCAAATTGAATAAGAGTCAACCAGAGTCAATGAGAGTCAATGAGAGTCAATAAGAGTTAATAAGAATAAGAATCAATGAGAGCCACGAGGTGCCAAGATTTAGGGTGACAATGCAAATAGACCCTGGTCCTTCTCCAAATTTTGGACCTTAATAAATTGGGGTAGGGTAATAGTGCAAATGGATCCTTTCGCCTCCTTAAAAAAATAAGAGAAGAAAGAAAGAAAAGAGGAAAGAAGAAAGAAGGGAGGAAAGGAAAAAGAAGGAAGGAAAAGAAAAAGAAGGTAGAAAAGGAAAAACGAAAGGTGAGAAAAGATTAAAAAGATAAAATTTGGGAAGGCTTCAAAACTTAGTGGTTGGTTACTCCAGTTGGTTGCCCCAGTTAATTAGCGCTTAATAGCCAGATGGCCTACTTGGATGGGTGTGAGTGTTGAACGTTGTACTTGTATATATGTAAGTGCTTTGGAGGCGTTGATATAAAATGGCTGACAGCTGAGGCCAGTTGGAAGCTCGGACCAGTTTTTAATTGAGCCTACGAACGACTTGGGCCACCGTATGGACGGCAAACCTCTTGAGGAGTCATCATCCGAAGACGATGGTTCGACTCGACAGTCTAAACATATTCTCGAGAGCAGTGACATGGAACCCAACCGTTTATGCAAACGCTGTTCCCGCGCTCTCACAGCATCCAAGACACTCTGGCAACCGAGACCGGCGGGCGACCCTGACTGGGCAGGCGAGAGATTCTTCCACAGCAAGAACACAAAACAGATGTTGAGGGACTTGGTAATTGCCGCCGGTTGCCATCTCTGCACACAAGTCAGTCAAGAGCACAACTTTTCGCGCGCCGGGGATGACCAGAGAGTCATGGTCGAATGTAGCCGATCGAGGGCTTTCGAGGCCGATGAAGGGAACATTCCGATTGTTTTATTTTCCGCTATTTCCTGCGCCGAGTGGGACGACAATTGGGCTTCATTGCCGGACCCTTTCAAAGATGAAGAGCCTCAACCTCAAGGTGATTCGGATATGACCCCATTGGCGAAATTCAAGCTCGAACGGACCGATGGTAGCGCAGGAGCGAAATCTCTTCTACCCCGAGGACTACTAGATGGTTCGATGTTCGTGTTACCTTCCTCAACCAACTCGCCTGAAGCCTTTGGCCTTGTGCGACACTGGCTAGATGACTGTCTCAATAACCATCCGGAATGCAAGGGGTCCAACTTCAAGAGACTCCCGACAAGGCTTGTCGATGTAGGTGCTCCGGACAACAATGCACAGAAGAAGCCTCCACGACCGCGCATCTTCATCCCAAACGCGACTTCCCAAACACCGGCCACGATCCCATATCTCACTCTCAGTCACTCATGGGCCTTGACCGGATCATCTCTAAGGCTGACAACCAAGAATATCGAGGACTGGCAGAAACCCGAAGGAGCGGAACATGGAGGAATACCAATCGACGGTCTAGCCCAGACATTCCTCGACGCAATGCGAATCACGCAGCAACTAGGTTACCGATATATCTGGATCGACTCTCTCTGCATTATGCAGGACTCATCAGAGGACTGGAAGCGGGAGGCCCAGACGATGGCAGCCGTCTACGGTAACTCTTTGTTGACCATCTTTGCTTCGGGGATGGGCATGGCAGGAGGTCAAGGCGCCAATGCCGACACTTGCTTCTCAGTGCGAAACCCCCTGAAAGTGTATTCCCCCATCATCACGTCTCCTTTGTCTGGGAGAGCATCTTTTTACGCCATTCGTGAAAAGTACGAACCCAACGTGGACGAGATGTTATGGGGCGCTAATCAGAAAAACCCGCTCCTATCACGAGGCTGGATCGTCCAAGAGCGTTTGCTGTCGCCTCGCATCATCTACTACGGGGCCGATGAGCTCTACTGGGAGTGTCGTCTCCATGCGGTCTCAGAAAGTTGCCCTTTTGGAACTGGCTTGAAGAAGGATGCTGAGGCTTCTCAATCTATCTGGACCGCTAACGCAAAGGCCGTGTACCAAGACTTACAGGATCCTTTCCCTGCGAGCTTGAAGACGGGCATGGATATGGGTAATGACAAGGAAGACGCAAAATACGCACAACATTTGCAGTAACTCGCTGCCTGTTGGATGACCTTACTCACCTATTACACCGCCACCGAACTCACCTACCCGTCCGACAGGCTCATCGCACTCGCAGGAATGGTAACGGCGATAGAAGAGAGCAAAGGCTGGACCTATACCCTCGGGAGCTGGCAAGAGCTTTGGCCTTTTGACCTCCTCTGGGGCTTCGATAGTGTCCTCAATGTCGAGCTGTTTAACCCGGGCTGGTATCCCGATGATAGCGAGAAACGACGCCAAGATCGCGATGAGATGGCCCGGAAACTGTTGAAAGGTCAATCCTACCCCGAGTCGCATGCCAGTACGACCCTGGGCCTCCCTTCATGGTCATGGGCAGCTACCGAAGCACCCAAATCCTTCTGGTTTGGATCTTCTGGTTCACTTACATGGAAATGCCAGATCGATGTTTTCGGCAGGACGACCACCGGTATGCAAGAAAGTGGGATCCTGGCCCTGAAAACGTACAAAAAGCAGTTATACGACATGCCCCCCATCGACTTGGGCTTGATGTGGGACGACGACGAAAGTTTCTATTCGAAAGATGAGGTATGCTGCTTGTTGGTATTCGATCATTTCGCAAGGGGTGGGCGACGAGCTCTTCAGCGGGGGTTGATGGTTGTCCAAGTCCAAATGGCCGAGAGTGCTCCGTCGAGTGAAGTCGCCGACGACACCGGAACGATGACGGGAATTCGGTTCTACTGTCGCCGGGTAGGAAAGTGGGAAAATACTTGGGGCCCGCCTGTTATCAACAGGAGCAAGGATGAAGCGACGGTGGTGTATTTGTGTTGAGATGATGTGATTCTCGGGCGTGCGACTTAAACGTTTTGGGAGGGAAGGCGTTGATCGACCGACGCAGTTTCCGCCAGTGCTCCCAATGAGCCGAGTCGTTATTGAGCCGAGCCGAGCCCAGATATTTTGTTACGAGCCGAGCCGGGGCGATATTTTGAGTAAGCTGGAGGTTAGGCTCAGCTCGTTAAGGCTCGTCAGGCTTGTATAGTAAGGTTCTCCAATATTTTTTGGTGTACCCGTGGAGATAGGGTTGTAATCTTATGGGTAATAATCGATATAGGGTTCAACGTGGCTTGATTGTATGTAACTGTGTAAGACTGGCTCTACAGACTCGAAGCTCTGGCATCTCTAAATAAATCCCGCATATCCCAGTCCAATTAGGCACGTATACACCCAATAGATCCCTTAGCCTCTAATATACCCCCTTAGATCTAGTATATAAACTACGTTAGATCTACCTAAATATACTTTAAAATGCCCTAAATCCTTCTAAAACTGGCTAGAAATAATATTATTCCTAAATTACTTCTTCGTTATAGTAATTTTCAAATTTTTATTTATAAGAGTCTTACCCTAATTTATATTACGAAGGCTAATATAAAGGAAAATATTAAAAGGATATTAGAAAAAGATAAAATAGAGGAAGAAGGAAGCGTCCTAGATTTTAGGAGTATAAATAATAATTTAATAGAGGGGATGATATAGGAGGTATTAGCCGGTAGAGGTTAGAGGTATAAACGGTTTTTTAGTAATAACTTTTATAAATAAATCGACGGTTTAATAGGTAAAGGAGACGTTATTATTTTGCAAGCGGTAAAAATAATTAATTTTATCTATTTAATGGGTAAAGACGAGGATTTTCTCCGTTTTAAAATAATAATTAATAAATATTTTATAATTAATAATATTCCTTTAAATAAAATTATTTCCGAAAACGTTATTAAATTTTACGAGAAAGTTAATAAATTATTTAAGACCGACGAATAAATTAAAACGAAACTCTCTAAATAATATTAGTACTATATTAGTATATTTAGGTAAGTGGGCGTTGAAACTTTATTTCCGAATTGTTCCTACGATTTAAAAATCGAATTTTGTTTAGGAGTTACCCCCCTAACGTCGTAGGGCTATCCTTTTAACACTAATAAATTAAATATTATTAAACAATAGATCGATAATAATTTAATTAAAAGGTTTATTAAATTATTATAATCTGAAGCTTTAGTGCTAATTTTATTCGTTAAAAAACTAGGCGGTTGAATTTACATTTGCGTCGATTATAAAGGTATTAATAATATAACTTTTAAATTCTATTACCCGTTACCGCTTATTAAAGAGATTTTGGATACGATTTACTATATTAAAATCTTTACTAAGTTTGATATTATTATAGCCTTTAATAGGATCCGCGTTAAATAGGGCTATAAATAATTAATTGCCTTTATAATACAATTTAATTTATTTGAATCCCTAATCGTTCCTTTTAATTTATAAAGCGCCACCGGGGCTTTTTAGAATTATATTAATAATATCCTTTATAATATTTTCAATATCTATACTACCATTTACTTTAATAATATCTTTATTTATTCTAATAATATATAAGACTACAAACAGTATATTAATAACATTTTCAATCGATTTGTTAAAGCGGGGTTAAGCGTCGATATTAATAAATATAAATTCTATATAATATATACAAAATATCTAAATTTTATTATTAGCAGAGGAAGTATCGAAATGGACCCCGAAAAAGTTAAGGCCATTACCGAATAGGAAATCCTATAATCGAAAAAATCCTTATAATCCTTCTTAAAGTTTACAAATTTCTACCGGCGTTTTATTAAAAACTTTTCTATAATAGCCGGTCCCTTTTACAAATTAATTAAAAAGGATATTAAATAATTTTAATCCTTAAATTATAACTACGCTTTTAAAGCTTTAAAGAAAGCCTTTATAGAAGGTTCTACTTTGAAAATCTACGATTAGGTTAAAAAAATAATTATTAAGACTAACGCTTCCAATTAAGCTACTAGCGGTACCCTATCCTAGTACGGCGACGATAATATCCTATACCCCGTTACCTACTTCTTTACGAAATATACAGTTTAAAAATATAATTATAATATATATAACAAAGAGCTCTTCGCTATTATTAAAGCGTTAGAAGAATAGAAATTAAAATTCGAAAGCGCCCAATATTTTTATAATATTTTAACGGACTATAAAAATTTATAAACTTTTATAATTAATAAATAACTTACTTAACGCTATATATATTAATCCTAATTCTTATTACAATTTAATTTCCTAATAAAATATACGCCAGGCTCTAAGAATCTCCGCTTAAACGCATTGAATCGGAAATTAAACGACCGCCCCGACGATATAAAAAACAATAGGTTTATTATAAAAAAAAGGGCTTTATTAGACCCTTTATAGTTCGAGGAGGGTTACTTCGAAGACCCCGTTACTAGTTTCTCCCTATATTTATTAGGTATAAATGATTTCGATAATAACTTAATCAATAATTTAATTTATATAAATTATAATATATCTATCTTTTTATAGGAATTTATTTCTCATTTAATAAATAAAATAAAGCCCTAATAATTACCGACTATTAAAAAGGTTTTCTATTATACCTTCTCCGAATATTACGTTATTAATAATATTATAAAGTAATAGGATAGAATTATTATTAACTTTTATAATAAGGAACTCGAATTCTAATTAATTAATTACTAATATAATTCCCCCAGTACGGGCTACCCTAGGTACGACGTTATATATAAATTCTTATAACGCGAATTTTATTAAAAGGGGATATATAACGACGTAAAGATTTTTTATAAAGGATATTTCTTATATACAAAAATTAAATCGTTAAAACGCAGCTTTATTAACTATTTTAAACTTATAACCGTATCCTTAATACCTTAGAAGGATATTTTTATCGATTATATTACTCTATTACTAGAAAATACCTACTTCGGCTAAACGTTTAAATATATTATCATCGTCGTCGACTATTTAATTAAAATACGCTATTATATTCCAATAATAATTTTAGAAGCGGAAGAATTGGCGGACCGCTTTATCGATTATATTTATTCAATATATAGCTTACTAAATATAGTCTTATTAAATAGAGGAACCTAATTTATATTATAATTTTAAATAATATTATATAAGAGATTATTAATTATTCGTAAATTGACCTTTACCTTCTACCTTTAGATTAATAGTTAAACCGAGAGAATTAACGCCGAAATAAAACAACTTTTACGATTATATATTAATTAAGTATAAATAAATTGGGCCAAATAATTACTTATTATAGAATTCGCTCATAATAATACTATATCTTCGTTTATAAAGGTATTATTATTCTTTATTAATTATAATTATTACCTTCGAATAAATACCGAACCCCGTACGCCGCCGCCCCTAAATTTATTACTAATATAATTTAAAGAATATTATAAAGTAAATAAATTAGCAGACCGCTTCTAAAAAATTAAGGACTTCGTAATCTAATAAATACATTATATTTAGGAATAATATAAAAATAATACTAATAAGAAGCGCATCGATTCGGATAAATATAAATTAAATAATATAGTCCTATTCAATACGATTAATTTTATTAACGGCCGCCCCTACTTTAAATTCTTATTCCATTAGGAAGGTCCCTTCCGCATTATTAAAATAGAGTCCTATATAATATATTTCAATTTCCCTACGAATATAAAATACTCGCCGGTATTTTATATTTTAATAGTATAATAATAGATAGGTAGAAGTTTACCGGGTTAGATTATTACAATAAATCTTAGGGTAAACGATAGCCGAATAATAGTTAGGACCGACGATTATTATAAATAAGTAGAATAGGATTTTAAGAACATTATTAATTATAATTAATTCAGCGGCAATTATTATTAATATTACCGTATTAAATAGAAAAGCAATTACTAACTTATATAGGAATTAAAGGATAATATTATTAATTATATAGACATAGTCTAACGTTTTTATACCTAATTCCCCGACGTACTTATACCCCCGGAAGTTCTAATATAGTTAGAGATTTAATTTATAATAGTTTAACGAGCCTCCCTAGAATTATTAGCGGCCCCGGAGCCCCCGAAACGTTACTCCGCTCGCTTCGCGTAATAAGAATCCTTTGCCGCTATCGATATTATAATTCCGCTCCTAAATACGATTACTATAGTTCCTATAAATACGATACTAAGTAAGTGCGAGGAGGAGGGTTTAAATAAAGTATTTGTTGGGATAATACGACAATTAATAGATATTTAGGCTAGCCGAATACTAGTAATTAAAATCGTAGATTATAATAAAATATTAGAAAATAAGGAGTTGGAGGATTATAGGAATAGTTTGGGATAATGATCTAAAGTATTATTATATATATATATAGATTTAAAGTTGTTAGAGCTTTTTTTAAAGGGGGATAGTATTATAGGGTTAGCCTATACTATTATTATATTGTATTATTTATTTTAATATACTATACCTAGTATTAGTACTATAGCCTAGAGTTATATACGCATTGGCTATATACATAATAGTTACGTACAATTATACGTATACGTATACGGACTGGTCTAGCTAGGGCTTACGCCTATATAGCCAGTCTTCTACGTATACCTTCCTTTCTTCCCCTTCGTACAATAACGCATATCTCAACCCACCCCCAATAGTGCCTCGCCCCGTGATACGTTTATAATAAATTATAAACTTAATATTAAATCGTACTTCGGGCAATCGAATATAATAACGAAATAATTAGTAAAAAGAAAATAACTATTTAATTTATTATAAAAGGGATTAGTATTAAACTTTTAGCACCTTATATATAAGTTTAAAATAATAGCGTAGACTATTTAAAGGGTATAATTAAAATTAAGGGTATAGTAAGATAATTAAGTATAAAATTTCTTTACGAATTATAAATAGAAGTTATTAAAGTAACTATATATTTATATAATTTAACTTTTAAAGCGGAATATTATTAGAAATCTCCTTAAGACCGATTTTTAATATATTATTAATTTAAAAATAATAGTATTCTTCTATTAGACCCCTCCCTTATTATTATATATCTTAAAATATACAATTATAAGGCCTTTACTCTTATAATAAAAATCATAAAAGAATAGAATAAATTATTAAAATTTAATGACCGTACTTAAATCAGCTATTTAATTAAATATTAATTAATAAATATTTATAGGGTTTAAAATCCTTATACTAATTTTATTATTATTATGTAAAATATTATATTTAATAAAAATAAAGTCTTTCCTAGTAGTAATATTAAAGAAATTTATTATACTTTTAATATTTGCCTTAAAGAATTAATTATATAATTAAGAGATTTTTCTTAAATAAATATTATATAAATAAACGTTTTATAAGTTAAAGCTATACTTATTATAAATAATAGAATTCTTAGCCCTATTATTTAAAGTTTTCTTACCGACGAGGCCGAAAATATATTAGGGAAGAGGAGGAATGAAAATCTTTAAAGATATAAATATAGTTTAGATTTTTAGAAATCTTATAAATATTAGAAATATAATTGTAAATAGGTTTAAAAATATTATAAGGGTCTTTAGAACCCTTACTATCGCCGTGTATATAATTATTATTAAATTTTTAAAATATAGTTTTAATTTTGAAGCATAAAGAAGAAAGCTATTTCCTTACCCTTTTTAAAAGCCTAGCCGCGTTTTTAATAACCAATTTCTTTCGTTCTAATAAAAATTTATAATTAATTATAAATTAATATTTTTATTAAACCGCGTTATTTTTATTTATAAAAGGCAATCGATTCATAAGCTTCTAGGGAAATAAAGTCGTAAATTAAATTTTCTTAGAAGAAATAAGAAAAAAGGGTATTAATATCGATTTTAATTACAATTTTAAATTAATGATAATAAGGGAAATTATTAACTATTATAAAATATAGGGTATATTAAAGACCTTCTATCGAATTAATTTTCTACGTCTTTTAAAATACTATAGTAATTTCAATTTTTATCCTTTTAGAGAATTCTTTAAAGTTGTAGAAAAAGAATACTTAAACGAATATAAGGATAAGAAATTTTAGAAATAGATTAGTATTAAAGAAGTAGGAAATAACGAC